AATTGTTGTGTATCTTGACCGTGGTACTTGACTGATTACAATGGCCAAACTCATCACCTGTACACTTGAAACTGGCACATTTTATTGTGTGTAAACACTTTAATAAATAAAAAAGACGGGGAGAAAAAGGTGGGACTGCCCACCCAGCACAGGCAAGTCTCAAACTCATTCTGCTGACGAGACAGCCGGACCAGAGTGCAGACAGCCTGACTCTGTTTACGTGACGGACAAAAGTACCCAGAGGACAGAAAGCGGATCCGAGGCTGCCCGCGGCTGGGGGTGGGGGAGGGGATGCCAGCAAAGGGGCGCAAGGGCCTCCAGGGTGACGGACACGTCCTCCATCTGACTGTGCTAGTGGCGCCTCGCCCACATCTCAAATGGGTAACTTCATACCCGTGTCACCGAGGTATGTAAGTTACACCTCAATAAAACTGGTTTAAGAAGAACTCTTAGGGTGTTTGGGGGTGTGAGGGTTAAACGTGTGACACTGCATGGAAGCTGAGGCCAGGGAGCCGGGGGCTGCGCCTGGAGGCCCTCAGGGATGAGCCCCGGATGGTGCCTGGGGTGCCCGGCCAGCCCTCAGGGCAGCCTCCGGGGTATACAGTGGGACAGACACGTTGGCGTTGGCACCTCCTTCGCCTGGCCTGAGCTGCCAGGATGCTGCCTTAAAAGAGCGGGAACCCCCCGAGCCTGGGCAGGCCGCCCCCACCTGGGCACCACTGTAGGCAGGCCAGGGGTTGTGCTGGGCTCTAACGGTGCGGACGCTCCTGGCCCAGGGCAGGAGGCAGTGTGGGTGGCGGGGAGTGGGGCTTGCAGAACCCATCCTGACTGCTCCCTCTCTGTGGGACCCCCAAGCGACAGCTCGTGAGCTCTGAGCTGTGGGTGGGAGCAGCTGCCAACCCGGCTGCCCAGAGGCTCTGCTGGAGGGACGCCCTGCCGTGCGGAGGGGGGACGCTGCAGGCTGGGCCCGCCCCCCGTAAGATGGGACAGCAGCCGCGCTGACCTCACAGGCCGTGCTGGGAAGGCCTGGCCCGGGGCGGGGCTCTATCCTCCGGCGTGCAGCGGCCACCTGCGGCCTCTGCTCAGAGCGGCGGAACCCGGGAACAGACGTGCTGCCGCTTGCCAGGACCCCGTCCCGCGCACCACCAGGGTCCGTCCCACGTCCAGGCGTGGGGCAGCGGGCAGACCCGGAGGGGAAGGGAAAGCAGGGCCACACAGGGCCACCAGCTCACTGCCCACCAGCAGGGCACCCCGCGGCGGTCCCCTCCTGGGAAAGGGTGAAGGTGGAGGCTCGGGGCTGGTGCGTAAACACCTAGGCGGGCCTGTGGCTCAGAAGCCCATAGGGAGCACATCCGCCTGCGGGATTCAACATCTGCCCAGTGAGGGGGGTGGGCCTGGAGGCCAGAAGGGGGTCGGAACCGCAGAGACCAGGGGAGGGGGCCCGGGTTGGCGTGGGAACCTCCCCTCCATGCCCTCTGTCGTCTCATCCCCGCACCCCTCAGCCTCACTCCCGGGGCAGCCTGCCCTGACAGTGGCCCCCCGCCACGATGAAACACCACGTCAGGGTCCAGTCTGGTGTCTCTCTGTGTCCACAGCAGGCAAGGGCAGGGACTACGCCCATCCTGGCCACCACTGCTCACAGCCTGTGGGCACAGGTGTGCCCACAGAGAGTGAACAAGTAGAGACCATGGGAGCGGACCCCTCACGGCGGGGGGTGCCCTCTGTGCCCTGCCCACCCCCGGAACCAAAACCAAGCCCCCCAGACCTGCGCTGCCTCGACGGGGCCGCCCCTGGCTCCTGCCCCACTCTCGGCTAGAGGCTGATGTGCAGAGAGATGCCCGCCGGCTCTGGGCCCTGCGGAGCTGAAGCGCGAGCTGCCCTGAGCCCCCGGGTGGGGGGCTGAGCCCACTGCGATGTGGGGTGGGTCTGATCGGCCCCATCATGGTTAGGGCCTTCCCAGTGGCACCTCTCCTAACCTAACCAATTAGGAACCACCCAATATCCTCCAACAGGGAAGCGGGTAAATCAACCACGGCGTCTCCACGAACGGACGATGACACAGGACTTGGACAGAACGGAGGAACACGCAGCACGGACACGGGGGACCACGCGGGGGCTGCTGGGGGGAGGGATCCAGAGCCCATCCACTCATCTGTAACATTCAATTCCTCGATTTCCAACAAGAAGCCCATCACGTGGGAGCTGCTAACAGCCCTTCACGGGGATGAGGGTGGGGACGGGGTCTCCAGTGCAGGGCTCTGCGCCCTTCGCTTTCCTGCACACGGCGTGCTGGAGAGAAGACCCCTGAGGGTCACTCAGGCCACCCCCTCCCTTGGCAGGTGGGGAAACCGAAAGGAGAAGGGACTCCTGAGAACCCTTATGCGCCAGTTCACCTTAGAACCTTCCGGATTCCACCAGCTCGAGAGCCCTGCCCAACCCCTGTCCAGGCCCCGGCACGGGGCACCTGGCTATTCGGCTGCCCACGTGGGGTGTGAGGATGCCCCCTGGCCAGGCCAGGCCAGCACAGAGGGAGCCCGGGTTACGGGAAGCCAGCGCCCAAGGGGCAGCCAGCCTTTGGGGACGGGCCCCTCTCTGCCTGCCCGGCCCCCACGGACCCTCCCCCCAACCCTCTTCCCAGCGTGCCAGGTGCCCAGTGATGCCAGCGACGTCACTGCCGATAACCTAGATTTTAACCAAGAAATCACACACCCCCTCCCTGCCCCACTTACGGGCTCAGGGAGGAGAAAACCCAGACCGGAGCCTCCCAAGTCCTGTTGGAGACAGGCTCCCAGGCCACCGCCCCCAGTCTCGCAGCTTTCCTCCACCCCGTCCCACCTCCGACGCTCCCAGGGATGTGGGATGAGGGGCTCACAGGCCTTAGCTGACCCGTGCCCGGCCCCAGTAGGACCCAGCAGCTGGTCTCAGTGCGGGAGGGGCTGGTGAGGAAGCCCAGACAAGGCAGCGGGGCAGCTCGGTCTCCCAAGCCGCACCCCCAGCTGTCCACGGCCACCTCCCTCGGCTCCTTGGAAAATCCAAGGGTGCAGGTGAGGAGGGGGTCCAGGCTCATGCAGCCAGAGGGGCAGGTGCCCTCAGACGGGCTACCGCCCTGCACCCACACCTAGCAATTCCAACACCTGTGGTGGCTCTCACCGTCTCGTACACACCAAGGCCCGAGGCCACACTGGCGGGAAGGGGGCCGTACAGGGAGGACCCTGGGGTGACACGTGAACTAGGGTCCTCTGCTGGTTCGGCACTGCACCACCAGTGACCACCGTTGGGCAGCCCCGCCCCTGGGCCCTCAGCCGATTCTGTCCTGACCCCTCCATTGAGCCCTGCCCAGCTGCTGGCATTGGGGGGGGGGGGCGGTCCTGCAGGGTTTGCCCTGAGCCCGTGTAGCCTGTTTTCCTGGGGGAGGGGCTTGGGAGCCACCCCAGCTCCCTCTGGCCCAGTCTGGGTGCCAACGGATCTTTCTACCCCCTGGGGGCTGTCAGGGAGATGGCGGGGTCAGGCAGAGGAAACTGCACACGGGTGGTTCCCGGGGTCCCGGCCCGGCCTAACCCACACCAGAGCTTGCGGGTTTCTTGGTGTCAGGAACACCAAGCCCTCCCCGCTACCACTAAGAGGAAAAAACCCGGTCCAGACGGAGGTGGTCTGTGTGCTAGTACCCTGCGCAATCCATACAAATATGACAAAACACATTCAGATAGTCATGAGCCCTGGGAAAACCAAGGCCCAGGGCCCCTGGGGGGAGCTGCCCAGGGCAGTGCCTCCCCCGCAGCTCTGAGAGGGACCCTGAGAAGGGCCCACGTTGGCCAGACCAGAGACCGAAACCCAGCCGCCAGTGCCACATGGGGATCGGCTGTCCCAATGGCCCGAGCTGGCCAGTGCACCAGGCTCCCTCCGCTCCTGCCCCCCAGAACTGACAGACCAGTGCCCGCCTGGAGGCGGAGGAGTGGAAGGGGGAGGGAGAGGAGGGGCAGCGTCGGCCCCATCGGGGCGCAAGGACGTGGTGGGTCTCAGGGGCGGAAAGAGTCCCCAGACTGCACTTTGGGGCCCCAGCTCTGGGATGCCACTTCCCACTGGCAGCGTGCATCCGGGCCAGTCACCGGACACGGGCCCCGCATGCAAATCAGGACAGGCAGCCGGCCCAGGCACACAGCCAGTTTTCGGGGAACACAGAAGGCAAGAGGACACCTGACCTGGGGCCTCAACTACGGGACCCTTCACGCAGCAAATCCTGAACCATCTCTGGCGACTGTGATGCAGGTTACAGGCAACACCAGGCATCGCAAATCAGTGCGTGTTGGGCTTATAGATCCCAAATGCGGGAGTTCTCCCCAGAATAAGTTGGGGGGCAGCACGTTCAGTTCAAGAGGCACTCTCTGGCCGGCCACTTGGTGCTAGCCCCAGGGAGACGGCCGCGACTGGGAGGGGCCCAAGGGACTCTCTGGCCTCCCTGAGTCAGAGGGAAGGCAAGAGCACATGGGTGGGGAAAGGGCTGAGGTCAAAGGCAGCGAAGATGGGCCTGCTGGGGCAGGCACCTCAGCCACAGGGACGCTGAGGTCTCAAGCAGGTGAGTGACGAGTCTGGGTCACACACTGCCCTGTGAGCCCTCAGGCAGGTCCCTGGTCCACTGAGGCCCTCAGTCTCTTCATCAGTCCGGTGAAAGCCGGGGCTCTGTCCCACACGCTACGCTGCGGCTGAACTTTCCCGTGGCCTCTCATCTCACCCAGGATGAGTTTAGAGTCCCTAGCTAAGGCCCTGCAAGACGGACCTGGGTCCTGCTCCTGCCTCGGGTGTCAGCTCCTGCCAGCTCGTCCAGTCTGGGCTGGGGACTGTCCCTGTACACCTGCAGCACAGTGCCCCCGGACGTGTCCGTCTCCCTGCCAGGCTGTGAGGGGCCCAGGGTAAGGCCAGGTTGGCCTCGGTGCCCACACAGGAGGTGCTGGGAGGTCCACCGTGCCGGCAGGCAGGCGGCCGAGGTGGCGGGTGGGGATTACCTGCGTAGCTGCCCGCGGCCTTGACGTACATGTGGCCGTACTGCTCCTCCACCATGGTGTCATAGGCCTCGTCATCCTCGTCATCCTCTTCGTTGTGGTAGGAGGTGGGGCTGTCGGTGGTGGGCAGGCTGCTGGCCCCCGGGCTGGTCCGCTCCCCCTGGGAGTACTGCGCCTGCTGGATGCTGGGGATGAGGGTGGCCAGGCTGGGCACCCCGTAGTAGGAGACCCGGGGCAGCTTGAGGGGGGCCGTGCCTGCCGCCACCGCGGGGCCCGTCGCCGCTGCCGCGCCGTCCCGGGCCCCCGTCTCCAGCGGGCGCTTGGGGGCCAGGCCTGGGCCCGCGGCCAGCGGCAGCTCCACGGCTTCGTGCTTGACGCGGGTCAGCAGCGGGATGGGCACGGAGGGGGACACGACGTAGGGGGGCGCGGCGGTGACCGGCTGCAGCTGGTTGCAGGGGCTCTGGGGCTCGGAGCTGGCGTCCTCGATCATAGCGGTCTGCGAGTCGCAGTGGGGCGAGCTCACCTTGAACATGAGGTCCGTGCCGCGCTCCACGATGTGCTGGATCTGCAGGAAGCCGGCCGTGTACATGACCACGAGCTGCTCGCTGGCCGCCATGGTCAGCCTGCCCGTGTAGCAGAAGGACAGGATCTGCTGGAAACAGGCGGGCGGCACGGTGCCCGGCAGCTCGAAGGCGCTCTTGCTGTTGCCGCTGAACAGGTCGCGGAAGTAGAGGCTGCTGGCGGCCAGGACGGCCCGATGGGCCTTGAAGGCCTGGCCCTTGACCACAATGGACACATCGCAGTAGAGGCCCAGCAGACGCTGCTCGTTGAGGCAGCCGAGCACGGTGTTCCCGAAGTTGGGGATCTCGATGTGCAGCATCTGCGACATGGCGGGCGGGGGTGGCGGGCGGGCCTCAGACTCTCAGTGCGGGAGCGGCCGAGCGGGGCGCATCTGCGGGAGAGAGGGCGCGGGGCGCCGCGGTCAGGGTCGGGCTCCGGACATCCAGCGGCCCACTGGCAGGGCCGGGCCCCGCACCACCCTGCTCTGCCACAGTGCCCAGGCCCCCCTGCGGGGCACCCCCAGACCCTCCAGCCGCCACGAGCCAGACCAGGTCTCGCCGCAGACCCGGCCGATGGTGGGACCCTGGCAGGGCCGTCAGTGCCGCCCAGGATACTAGAAGCCCCAGCTGGGTTTCCAGCTGGGGTGGGGGTGTAGGGGCCCCCCACACCACCCCGGGACGCTCCCAGAGTCCACCCAGCAGAGCGTGTAAGCCCTCGGGGCCGAGAGACACCCTGTCCTGGCAGAAGACGAGAACAGGCCTGCAGGCGGCGGACAGACGGGAGGACGGGAGGACGGGACGGGGCGGTCCACCCACAGCACTGAAGGGGCGAGGGCGGCAGGCCCGCGTCTGCATAACTCTTCTCCCAGGAAAAAGTTAGCAGCAAAGGAGCCCCTTGCCGCCTGTCCCCTGGGAGGGACCCGAACCCGGAGCAAGAGGCAGGGCACCGCGGTGTGTGGCGGGGGTCTCGTGGCGGGCGGTTTCTCGGAGGCTTTGCTTTCGGTTTGCTTTTCCCGTTTTCCCTAGAGCAGCCGTGCAGAGGGCCCGCCAGGGGGGGCATTCTGCCCCGCCGGCTGAGAAGCCGCCCCTTCGGCCCTCGGGAGAGGCGGGCAGGAGTGGTTGCCCAGGGAAGTGAGCTGAAGCTGGGAGAACTCAGCCTCTCCGCCGCCTCTGCTCGCCCTCCAGGCAAAGGAGACCTCGGGCCAGAGGTGCTCCGAGCCGCGCCCGGCTCCCCCAGCCCGAGCTGCCTCGGGGACCCGGCTGCCAGCCCAGGAGTTGGGACCCTGTCGCAGCCCCACCTGCGCGCCCTCCCGGCCCCCCAGCTCCCGATGCCGGCCGATCCCTGCTGGCTCGCTCCCAGCCCAGGTGACTAAAGGGGTCGTGGGGAGACAGGGGAGGGCCGAGCAAGGGATTGGCCGTGGTCGGGATGCTGCCGGCCCGCAGGGTCTGGGGATGGGGCTCCCGCGCTGTGGAGCTGGTGTCCGACTCAGAGAAGCGGGGCCGGGACGGACGGGCCGGAGAAGGCGCCGGCCCAACTCCGCGCAGCCGGCGCCCGTACAAAGGGCCGCTCGGTCCCGCGGGAGGAAAGTGCGGGCGGCCGCAGAGGCGCCGGGCGGCCGGCGAGAGGAGGGCGGAGCGCCGGCCCGGCCGCCGACAGGAGTTGAGCAGGTGGGCGGCCGCTCGGGGTGGGGGGAGGGCCCGCAGCGCCCCCGCTGCGGAGAAGTTGCCGGCCTGGCCGGTGGCACCGGCGGCAGGGGAGACCTACCTCTGGCCGCTGCCGCCGTGGCCCCGGCACTGCCCGCTCAGCCTGGCAGGGGCAGGCTCGCCCGCACACCGGCCGCCCGCAGCCGCCAGCTGCTCCGGGAATGCAGCAAACGGAGCGGGAGCCCTTGGGGTGGGGAGGGCGAGAGGAGCTGCGGGGGGAGGAGGGGGGAGGGGGGAAGAGGAGGAGGGTGGGGGGAGGAGGGGGACAGAGAGTCTCGGCTGGGCCGGGCCGCAGCTCAGCTGCACCCAGCCCGGCTCTCCGGGGCAGCGCACAGCATCTAAATGAAGAGGCCGGATGCAGACGGACATTCAGGCAGCTCTCGGGAATGAATAGCCGCCTTTGATTTGGGAGCCGAAGTAATGCCAGCTCCCAGCCCCGGCTTTAAAAACAGTGGAGTGTTGGTGCCAGAGGAATGCACGGCTCCGGGTGTTGGTACAAGACAGACTTTTGATGACTCACTGCAAATGCAAACAAAGATGGCAGCAATACTGTACTGTGCGCGGAGAGACGCTCGTGGTGCCGCGGCAACCGAGACGGCCTGGAAACGTATAGTGCGGTTCTGCATATGAATTACCCAGTAAACTACCACCCTGCCATCCAGTACGGCCCGAGTGTCAAAGCATTTAAACTATGCCAAACAGTCTGCAGGGCTGGCAGAGCGGCCTAACTCCTGCAGTGCAGGCAGGGGGGTGCCGGGCGGGGGCCGGCGAGGGGGGCAGGGAGGCCAGGGGGTCGGGGCAGACAGGCCAGGAGCTGGGTGAGCAGGGGAGGAAAAGAAGGGAGATGAGAAAATGAGGCAGAGAGAGGTGAGAGCAAGGGGCCAGGGAGGAAGAGACCCAGCCCCCCTTCCCCCGGCGCCCTGCAGGCCCCAGTGCCCGCCTTCCCCCCTTCTTGGGGTCCCAGAGCGGCAGGCCCAGCTAGTCCGGCCCCAAAACCCCAGGTAATCACCCTGTACCCCCACTCCCCAGCCGGGGCAGCTCTCTTAAAGAAGTACAACTCTGTGATTACAACCGGGGGCCAGGCCCGTGGTGGCCAGCGACCAGGAGCCCCCGAAGGACCCGCCCTGGTCCCTGATGGACCTGCCCCGGGGAGGGGGCAGCCAAGGCACCGCCCCCAGGTTACCAGTGTGGCCGGGCCGTTGGTGCGGGGTCCACAGTGTCTGCCGTCTACTGAACCTCTCCTGGGCAGGGGCGGCCGTGCTGTGCACACTGCCTGTTTGGCTGCAGAGGATGTGGGACCTCGTTCTAGGCTCAAGCCCCCACCTGCTGGACAGCGTGGGCCCTGGGGCAAACCACTGGCCTGCCCAGCCTCAGTTTCCCTGCTTGCCACCAACTGTGGCAGCCTGCAAGAAGGGGCAGGGTTGAGAGTGGAGATGGCCAAGGAAGGTCTGTCTCCTGCAGCGCCCAGCGTCGTCACCATCAGGGCAAGGCGGGGGGGGGGGGGGGGGCTACAGGCAGCACCCCTCCCACCGTCCCTTCCGAGGCATCCGGAGAGAAAGAGCCATCTGGCGCCTCCCCATTCACACACCGTGGGCTCAGCTTCCGAGACCAGATAAAATGCTGCGAATGGAGAGACGGAAGAAGGCCAGGTGTAGGGAAGCCGCCCAGCGAGCAGCGGCCAGCAGAGGCGGCTTGGTGCCTCCTGCACAGGGCTGCTGACAACTGGAGGGGTGGGTGACGGCAACACAGGCCCGCACGCGGAGCGCTAACAGAAATGGTCCCCGCTCGGCGCTCTGGGGACCCGGGGGCTGTGTGGGGAGAGAGAGCGGGGCTTGGCCGGCCTTCCTCCGGCTCGAGGCCCAGGTGGGGCGGCCATCATCTCAGCACCACCAGGTTTCACATCCTGGCTTGGCCTCGGCCACCAGGTGACGGACCGAGGGCCCTTACGCACCGCACTCTTGGGTCCACGTGGACGCCCGGGTCTGCACACCTCCCCTCACCCCCACTGGGTAGCCTTGCCAGGCCCCCCAGACTGGGCTGTGTCATCCTGGTGGTCCCCCTTTCCTGGGGCCCAGGAGAAGCCCACTAGCTCCAAGATGAGGGACTGGGGCCTCGGGGGGTGGGGTGTGCGTGTGCGGGCACAGCCCCATGTGCCTGCCCAGCCACAAAGGGGGGCAGACTGGGCACACATGGAGCCAGTGTGGAGAAACAGAGGGACACTCAGAGGCCCAAGGACAGTGGGGCCCGTGATGGGTAGGGAAGGGCAGGGGCCAACCCTGGCCTGGGTGCAGGACACCCAGCCTTCCGCCGCCCTCCACGCGCTCTCCCCTCCGCTGTGCTGCACCCAGGCCCTCCCTGGGTGGAGGAGAGCGACCACCTTCAGGCCCCTGTTTCATTGCCAGCTCCGCAGGGAAGTCCCCCAGGTGCCACGCGGGAGCTTGCTGAGGCTGGGAGAGTCTGTCCGATGCCTGACGGGCGTTTCACCCAATGCTGGGCACGGCCAGGGAGGGCCGCAAGAGAGGGGCTGTGCGGCCCAGGGACACACAGCACAGTGGGGAGGGCCGCCACGGGGCCCCCGCACCCACCACCGGGAGCCTCCCAGAGAGTGAGGTGGGGCCTCCTGAGCCAGCTGGGGGCTCTCGTGCCGTGAGAGGGGAGGGGGTGAGCAAGCCTGGCTGGGGTGGGCGGAAGCTGCAAAGGTGCAGTGCGCACCGGCCCCCAGAGGGTCCCAACTGCCCAGGGCTGGGCAGGGAGCAGCCAGGTTCTGAACTGAGAGCGGGGGCCAGCGAGGTCTGCAGAGCCGACCCTTCCAAGAGCGGCTCCTGGGTTCCGCTGGGTACCACCCCACATGCCGGGCCCGGCGTCAGCCACCTCAAGTGCAGGTCCTATGGCCTCCAGCAGAGGACTCCACGTCTGGGATGCCCGCCTGGGAGGGGGGTCACATTCGCCCTCCGATGGTGACCACGGGGTCGAGGCAGACGGTGTTATTAGGAAAGCGCTCGGCTAGAGACGCACACGGCTAGAGACCGGCGCCCGCCTAGGCCCCGTCCGTGCTTCGTGGGCCTGCCCCCCGGGGCTGCGGCCAGACCGTTCACCCGGAGAGGGGACCATCCCCCCCTGGAAGGTGACGGAGCCGTCTGGCCCCGGGGATGGGGACAACCAGCCCTGTTGTTGCCGTGTCCTCAAGCCACCTGTGCGGGTGAGGCCGCCGCCCCACGGCCCAGCCCAGGACAGCCCAGCACGAGCTGGTTTCAGGTTGCTTTCTTAGAAGCCTCGGCCGGAGCGAGAACAAAGCTGAACTTCAGGAGAAAAGAATAAAATAAAGGCTTGACTTACACGCCCAGGACGTGCCGAGGGCCGATCCGTGCGCGGTGGCCGGAGAGGAGAGGGGCCGGGGCCTGAGCTGGCCTCCCTGCCCAGCCCCACGCGACCTCCTTCCCCCTCTGTGCCTCTGTTTCCCCACCCCTGCTACCCAAGCAGCACCACCTCTTCTGTTTCCCTCCACAGCAAGACCCCTGTGCCGTCCACTCACGGAAGGTCCTGAAGAGCCGGGAGGAACGTCCGAGATCCCATCTTTGTTCGTCCCGGCCGTCCTCAAAGCCACTGCACCACGGAACCACCCCCCTCATAATGCCCTTCAGAATGGAACCCACTTTGGGACATAACAAAGCCAGAGTCCAGCCCCTGC